AAAAAAAAAAAAAACAACCCTGAAATTAAACAACTCTAGGTGGCTAGCACAGGCACAACACAGACCAAGATGCCACAGCAGGCCGCAGCCTGGCATGCTCAAAAAGCACGGACTGGCACAATGGAGAGAAATCACTGGGGGATGGGACAGGCCTTGCTGACCACAATGAGGCCAGACCCCATTTTATGAAATCGGATACCCCTTCCCTAAAGCTTCCCCAGACCTGGGACCTTTGCTACCTACCACCTTGGCCAGGCTCCCAGGCTCCCCACCTTTCAGGAAGAATGTGTCATGTTGGTCACGTGCTGGGTGCTGCTGAGGTTGGAAAAGTGCATCAAAATTCCAGAAGGAGCTCTCAATGAAGTTGTCCGTGGGCATCTCAGTGAACCTGCAGGAGACATGGACTGGCTGCCCTGCCTGTACCGGCAGCTGGCACACCCCATCCCAGGCCCTCTGCTCACCCCATCTCCAGGAAGATCTGCCGGAACTGGGAGCGGACCTTGAGCAATGGGTGCAGGTGGCCACTGTCTGGGAGCACCCCTCGGGCAGAGAAGTTATAGGGCTTAAAGGGCCGGTCCCTCCAGGAGCCGCTGTGGGAATTCAGGGTACAAAGACATGAGGAGGGCTGCCCCACCCTCCCCCACAGCCTCTACCCTCTCCTTACCCTACCTGGAAATCATCTCTGGGCTCAGCTCTGCCTCCTGCTTGGACACACTTGTGCTGAAGGCCTTGCCCTTGCTTACCCAGTATGTTTTTAGGATCCTGTGAATAGAGGAAGAGAAGGGACTTAGCTGTCAGCTCAAGAGGCCCCCCCTGATTGTCCATTGGGTGCTAATCCCAGAACCAGCCATCAAGTCCCCCTGGTTTTAGGTGGTTTGTTGTTGTTTTAAGGGACTTCATGTACCCCAGACTGACCTGGAATTCGCTGTACAGTCAGGAACGACCTTAAGCTCTGCCTCCACCTCCTATCCGCTGGAATTACAGGCCTGTGTTGCACCAGGGTTACATAGTGCTAAGGGTCAAACTTAGGACTTAGTGCATACTAATACTAATCAACCAAGCTACACCCCCAGAACCTGCTCACGTGACAGAATAAAGCCCGAAAGGAAAGGCTTTAGACATTGTATTACAGGGTGTGTCCTTATTTGCTTTGCTTTTTTTCTTCTTCCTTAAATACAGTGTCATTATGGAGCTCTGGCTGGCTTGGAACTCCTATGTAGACCAGGCTGGCCTTAAACTCACAGAGATCCACTTGTCTCTGCTCCCTGGGCTGGGGTTAAAGGCGTGTATCACCATGTCCAGTTGCTTTCTTTGTGGTGGTAGACATTAACCCCGGTGCCTTGGATGTCAGGTAAGTATCCTACAACTGAGCTACATCCTCAGTTTCGTTTTATTTATGTGTATTGTATATGTCTGTATGTTTGTGTGAATGTATATCATGTGTGGGTGCCTGTGGAGGCCAGAAGGTATCATATCCCTGGAGCTGTTCCCAACATGGGTCCCGGAGCTCGAGTGACAGGTAGTTGTGAGCTGCCCAACATGGGAACGAGAAACCTAACACAGGTCCTCTTACCGAGCCAGCCCTCCAGTGCCTCCAGCTTTAAAAATCATCATCACATCACTCATCTCTGCGTGTGCTTGTGTGTGCGCAGGTGTGCACGTGATGCAGCTCATGTGTGGTCAGAAAACAACTCCAAGAAGTCAGTTCTGTCCTACCACGTGGGTCCCAGGGACGGAACTCAGTTACCAGATGTGGTAGTGTGAATATAACTGCCGCCCACCCCCCCGCCCCCGCCCCCTAATCTCATAGGCAGTGGCACTGTTAGGAGGTGCGGCTTCGCTGGAGTGGGTGTGGCCTTGTTGGAGGAAGTGCATCACTGTGGGGTCAGCTTTGAGGTTTCCTATGCTCAGGACACCGTCCAGGTTCTCAGCTGACAACCTGCTGCCTGCAAGATGTACAACTCTCCTGCCCGGCGGTGGTGGCGCACGCCTTTAATCCCAGCACTCAGGAGGCAGAGGCAGGCGGATCTCTGTGAGCTCCAGGAGAGGCGCAAAGCTACACAGAGAAACCGTCTCAAAAAACCAAAAAAAAAAAAAAAAAGATGTACAACTCTCAGCTACTCCTCCAGCACCACATCTGCCTGCACACCACCGTGCTCTCCATATGATGACAGTGGACTGAACCTCTGAAACTGTAAGGGAGCCACCACAATTAATGTTTCCTTCATAGGAGTTACTGAGGTCATGATGTCTCTCACAGCCATAGAAACCTAAGACCCCAGGCTAGGTGACAGCATCTTTGGCCACTGAGCTATTCTGCTGACCTTCTTTTGTCTCCTGTCTTTGACTGGGTGTGTTATGTTGCCCAGGCTGGCCTTAAATGCCTCATCTTCCTTCGTTCCTTCTGCTTTGTCTGTTGTCTCGAAACTGTCATGGAAATGTTCTTATGGGGCCACTACCCATCTACCTGTCCATGCATTTATTCACTGTTTAACACTAGGAATCTAATTTGTACCAGGGTCCATTCAAGTAGTGATGCATACAGATGGGCATGCTGATGTTAGGAAAGCATTGTGAGATTATTTTAGGTCAGGACCGGTTACTTCACAACTCTCTGAGAAGGTATTTTCTAGTAAGGAAGCTGAGCTGAGGAAAGCCAAAGAGTTGGCCAAGTTGTCAACTTCAGCTAACAAAGTGCGGGGCCTAGACTTCCATCGGGCAGTCCTACAATTCCAGGCTTTAAAAGTTCTGTGAGGCAGGTTTCACTGTATAGGCCAGGCTGGCCTGGAACTCTCCTGTCTCAGCTGCACAAGTATGCATCACCAAATCTAACTCAGTGTGACCTGTCGTGAGTGACACATGAGCAGGAATTTAATGTGCCGGCTGCCCGGAAGGGATACAGGAAGCCATTTCTCAGCAGCAGGTGCAGCAAGAGCAAAGGCCTGAGGGCTGCCTGAGCCAGCACACGTACTCAAGACCCTGCACAGGGCTAGGTCCATGCCTCCAGTCCCAGCACTAGGGAAGCAGAGACCAGCCGATCTCGGCAAATTCCAGGTTAGCCTGAACTACAGTGAACATCAGGCTAGCCAGGACTACACAGAATGACCCTGTCTCAAAACCAAGGAACCAAAGAACAACAGTAGCAAAACCCTGTATAAATGGGGTCTGGTGAAATAGCGGCAACTGGATATGGGCTAGGCAGCTCCCTTCCTTCGTCCTCACAGGCAAGGGGCGTGGCTATGGCAGTCACTCACACTTCAGTCAACAGCTTCCTCTTCCGGAGCTCATTCCTTTCCTTCTCAGCCAGTTTCTCAGCCTGGCCTGCCTGGACCAGCTGCAACCGCCTCTGTACTTCATCCTCTATACTGTCCACCTGGCAGAGGACAGAGGGAATGAGGGCTGGTGTCTGTCCCACTCGCCCTTCTATCGGCCTCCAGCCAGCCTGGCCATTTGCCTACAGGACTCACCACTTGGAACACCCGGGGCCCGTCGGCCGCACTCTTGTCCACTCGGATCCACTTGTTGGACATGGCCTTGCTGAAGCCCACCTTGCCACTGGGCAGCCGCTAGGGAAGTGGGATTGTGATGAGTGCTCTCTCTATACCAGGGCCACCTGCATCCCCTCCCCTCCCTGGACCCGAGCCCTGGACCCTACCATGAGCTCACTCTGCACCAGGCCCTCGAGAGGGATGCTTCTAAACACACGGGCCTCATGGCTGCCCTCCCGGGCAATCTCCTCTCCCTCAGCAGTCAGCTCCCAGCACTTGGTGGAACGAAGCTCAGCCTCAATGACCTGCAAGGAAATGAGCAGCATATGTGGGGTTCAAAGCCATCACCACCTGACAGCATCGGGCCCGAGAGTCAGGGACAGCCTCAGGGTTGGGGAGATGCCTCAGCAGTCAAGAGCATGCTAACTGCTCTTAAGCCACACAGGGTGGCTCACAGCCACCTCGAACTCTAGTGCCAGGGGATCCGACTCCTCCAGCTTCCTGGAGCATTGGCACTCATCTGTACATATGCATATGTACGTACACACACACACACACACACACACACACACACACACACACACACACACAAATAATCAAGGCCATTCGTGATGGAGTATACCTTTAATCAAAGTACTAGGGAGACAGAGGTAGGTGGATCTCTATGAGTTCAAAAACAGCCCGTTCCACAGATCATGTTCTAGGCCAGTCAGAGACCTAGACAGAGACTAGTGAAAGACAAAATGAGACTCTACTTAAAAAATAAACAAATTACGCTGGGTGGTGGCGCACGCCTTTAATCCCAGATCGGGAGCCAGAGGCAGGTGATCTCTGAGTTCAAGGCCAGCCTGGTCTACAGAGTGAGTTCCAGGATAGCCAGGGTTACACAGAGAAACCCTGTCTTGAAAAAACAAAATAATAATAATAAATTAACTTAAGCTCAAAGGGCAGCTTCAAAGCTATGTTACATGTCGGCTCAACTTTACTGTTTTCCATAGGGTGGGGGAAGAGAGAGGAGAGGTTAGAGGACAGAGGGACAGAAGGAGAGAGGGAGAGGGGGAGAGGGGGAGAGAGAGAGAGACAGAGAGAGAGAGA